TGCAGCGCACCTGACCGGGTGACGGGTGCTGGGTGCGCATGGCAGCCCCGACGTAATCAGGTTGGACGTGTCCGCTGTGGGAGCCTCGGGTCCCTCCGGTTTTAAATGGGAGATCACGACGCCGCCCCGTTGGATTTTTGTGAAGATTAAACCATTTCGGTTAAATAAACATTGATTGAATGCTGCCTTTTCCACATACAGAGGGCAGTCGGTGGTGTGCAACTGGAGATACAGTTTCAGAAAGTTGCTGTTATTCGAGAGAGAACTATCCCCAAATGGTCCTGACCACAAGGCTGTGTCGGTGCTTCTACTGGTCATGGTTTCCGTTTGCTTTCCTAGTTTCAGCAGCCGGCCGACTGTAGGACTAAGGGTTATGGACCTCAGAGGGTACCTAGCCCAGCTTCCCGCAGCGGCTGCAGGACGCCGGGCACAGCCTGGTCTGAAGGGAAGGACAGGCGTGTGAGGAGCCAGATTCCTGCGCTAAACGCCGTGTGAGCACTGACGTAATGAGTAGCTTTAGGAGCAAAATTCCTTAGGAGCCCAGTGCAGAGCGCCGTATTTTATCAGAGAATTTGGAAGTTTCTCACGGAGGAGGTGGCCTTCGGCCCGAGTCCTAAGGGTTGAGTGGTCGTTTGTGAAGGAAAGGAGTGGGGACTGTGGTTATGGGGGAGCCTGGGAGAGCAGCCCGTGCGGGCAGGGAGCTGCGGGGGTGCCCGGGAACGGGGCGGTGCGGGAGGGCCCGGGGCCAGCGAGGAGCTTGAGTTTCATCCTGACATCCAGCGTCAAGAAGGCCCAGGAGGTGAGCGATCAGCCCAGGAAGTGGATTACTGGTAGCAAAGGGAAAACCAAGCTGTTTTTTGTTTTGTTTTGTTTTTTTGGTTGAGGACATCATGTACTTCTTTTTTCTTTTTTAAAAAAATATATTTTATTGATTTTTTACAGAGAGGAAGGGAGAGGGATAAAGAGTTAGAAACATCGATGAGAGAGAAACATCGATCAGCTGCCTCCTGCACGCCCCCTACTGGGGATGTGCCCTCAACCAAGGTGCATGCCCTTGACCGGAATCGAACCTGGGACCCTTCAGTCTGCAGGCCGACGCTCTGTCCACTGAGCCAAACCGGTCAGTGCCAAGTTGGGTGTTTTTGCAGTGATTGAATTTATTTAGCAAACTTTTGAGTGCCACGCTCCAGTTCAGGGGGCGTCCGGATGAATGGGACACGTTCTCCCCAGTGTGGAAACGGCACCTCTGGAAAATGAGAAAGGCCAGGACGGGGCACAGGCTGTCCGGCCCCCTGTTGGTAGTGGCCTTATTGGTGCTGAACTGGGTCACCGAGGAGAACCGGATGCTCATATGCAGCCCCGTAAAGGGAAGGGCATTCACAGTTTGTGGTAAATTCATCCTGAGCGGTGACTTCAGCTGGAGTGTAAAGGGCAGCACCTACCGAGGCAGAACAGTGTGTTTTGCAGATCCAGGACAATAGTCTGTCTTTGGTGGTTTGGGGGAGTGGTTGCAGTGGTGGGGTTGGGGTGTCAAATCTGCCTGAGGGGAAATCTCTGATTACGCAGAGCAGGTGAAATTTGGGTTAATTTTTCCTGATGCATGAACGCACCAGGTGATTCTATTTAAGTAGTAAGTACTCCATCTTCATTAACATCTATCTAAAGTGTTTCGTAACAACACTAACATTGTTCTGATTTTAGAGCACCTTAATTCTGGCTGTTTGAGCTTTTAAAGTAACACCGAACCGGGTCATTTTTATCCTCAAAATTGCTTGACTCATTTTACATTGGAACTCACTTTGAGTAAGAAGATATAATGATCTTCCTTTATATTGCCAAGCACTGCATAAGGCTGTTTATAAGCAGTATATGTTCTACTTTTATTAATATTTCTTTAATAGTAAAATAATGTAAGGTTTTGATTTTTCCCCTCATGAATTGCAAATCATAGCTTGATGTCATTAAACCTCACATAATTCAAAAAATTCAAGTTCAGTCTACCTTTTCCAGATGTTTTATATATTTACTAGAGGCCTGGTGCACGAAATTCATGCACTGGGGGTGGGGGGGGGTATCCCTCAGCTTGGCCTGTGCCCTCTCGCAGTCTGGGAGCCCTCGGGGGCTGTCGGACTGCCATGGAGGCGTGAGAGGCTCCCGCCACCGCCACTGTGCTCACCAGCCTTGAGCCCAGCTTCTGGCTGAGCAGCGCTCCCCCTGTGGAAGCTCACTGACCACCAGGGGGCAGCTCTTGTGTTGAGCGTCTGCCCCCTGGTGGTCAGTGTGCATCATAGCAACCGGTGGTTCTGCCGTTCGGTCGATTGGCATATTAGCCTTTTATTATATAGGATATTCCTGGGAAACTGAACCCCTCTGGCAGGCACTTCCCCCTGCTTTGTGATGTGCTCACACTGCCAGTTAGCCTTTGAGTGTGTACATCTTTTCTACCTGGTATTATTGTGTAGGCAGGAATTTCTAGTATTCATTTTTTAACTTCCCACAGACTGTTTTGATTTTTTTTTTTTTACTAAATTAGTCCTTGTGAGGGTTTAGTTACTAGACAAATTAGTAGGATAGGGCATTCAAAAAGAAATTTTGCTGCAATTAAATTTTAATCTTGCCTTTTTGAATTGTGAAGTGTGTCCAATATATTTAAGTACCTTTGTGTTAATTTACAGCAGATTTATTTAAAATATTTTAAGATAATGTAGAGGTAGTAGTAGGATTTTTATTCCATGCTTATCTTAAAAGAAAAATACTACTCACCTAGTTTGCAGTTGTTACCTTGTCAAAGCGGATTTTTAATAGTTATAGCTTGAAAAAAATGTCTTTTTATTAAGAGTCAGAAGTAAGCATTTCTCTTGTGAACATTCTTGTAACAGCATCATGTCTTTGATGGCAAAAAGGGAATGATGACTTAACCCAGTTTTCTTTGTAACCTCCTTTGGAGCTTTCACTGTTTAAAGAGGAGTTAGTTTCACATCAGGCTTAGGCAGATCTTCTCTCACAAGTACATGTCAATTCTGCTCATAGCTCCCTTTCCTCTTCCAGTTCTTACTCAGTTGAGCTTCTCAGAATAGAGAACTTGGCTGTGGGGGGCAGGAGGCGGGAAAATGCAGAGATGTGTTGGTGGCATCAAAAATTGCTCACATCAAAAAGATGCAAGTGGAGACTTTAAAGCCACTTGATACTACCTTCCAGAACAAGCCTTCCCATTCACCAGATGCCTGATCTATGTGTCTTCTCTCTCTCTCTCTCTCTCTCTCTCTCTCTCTCTCACACACACATCTTTCTTGTCTTAGTTCTTGTTTTAGTTTTAAGAACAATGAAGAAACCATTACTCCTTTCACTTTTACTCTTTCCTTTTCTTATCCATAAGGAGCTGGAGATACCAGTTTCTAGATTTTTATATAAACATTTAAAAGAAAAGTATCCTGTGGAAACCAGTGTTTTCAAGACCTCAAGAGCCCCCTAAGTGCCCAGAATTAGTTTACACATTTTTTAAAAAAAAATTCTGGCCTTTTCTCCTTTAAGTAACAATAGTCAAAATGAATTATGACTATCTCTTACATAAATTACTATTTTCCTCATTTGCTTTTTAAAAAAGAACTGTTTTCAGAAGGGCCATTATGTAGTTTCTGAGAAAATTTCCAGGTACTTATATTGTTTTATTTGTCATAGGAAGGAAAATCCCCTCGGCAATGTCTGAAGGAAGGAAACTGCAGAGCTTTGAAAAATTCATTTTTTGAATGTAAAAGATCAATGGTAAGAAAAGATTCTTAAAAGCTTACGTTAAAAACTAGCTATGTAGAATTAAATACGTGAGTGACTTGTAATTAATAGGTGGTAGTGACGTTATCTGTAACTTGAGGGAGATAATGTTAGGTAGCTTCATGAAAACCCATAGCTGACTATTATTCTGCCACTACGCTAACTATAGCTGCTGACCTTTGTGAATTTCTGAAGATGAAAATGAAGTCTTGGCAAGTATAATTTAAAGTAGTAATTCACTATTAGTCCTCCAAGAAAAGACTAATGTCACACTTAACTAATGCAACTTCAGTTATACATGTTTGGCAAAAACCTGAAACAATTTAAATTGTGCTGGTAATTTTACTTAGTATTTCAAACAGTGAGTGTAGGACTCAGACCGAAGGTTAGATGGGAAGTTTGAATTATCTTTCGCTCATAGTACAAAGCATCTCATCATCCTGATTTTGATTCCCATGTTTAAAAATTAGTCATTTTTTGAAAATATGGCTCAGCTTCGTGTAGTGATCAGATGAAGAAATGGCTGTCTGTCCCACATTGGTTATGTTGGACTCATTAATAGGGTTTATCTGTAAAATAATTCCTTCCTGTAGAATTTCTAGGGAGTGATATTGACAGCCTATGCAAATTTGCCTTATATACTCTTCACCTTCCTCCTCCCCCCTACGAGGCTAGACTGAGAGGCTTAATCCTGTCTGTCATCAAATGAGTAGGTAACTGAAGGATTTTTAATCCCCAAATGGCTATGTATTACTTACCATTTTTCAAGGCTCGTTCTTTTTTCAGTTGCTATTTAAAGATTTCAGATACATTTGAGTATTAACCTAAACAAAACTTAAGTAGAAAATAGTTTGCTAGAACAACATATGTTGAATTTAATTCAGAGAAAAAGATCAATGTAATTTATAGTAAACTTGAGAAGAAAATCCTTAAATGGATTTTTTAAGAAAAACCTTAAATGGAACTTGTTTTTAATGCCATCTTTAATATTGTGGGTTCTTTGTGGGGTTTTATGGTAGTTCTAACAATTGCCTTTAAAAAAAAATTCTAGTCTTTAATTGTTTTCTGTTTCTCCTTCATTCTACTATTTTTAGGTTTAATTTTTTCTTTTTCTAAAGCTTTAAGATAAACACTTAGCTCACTTATTTTTCAGTCTTTTTGCATATATGCATTTATATTAAACTAGAGGCCCGGTGCATGAAATTCATGCAAGAGTAGGTCTTCCTTCCCCCAGTAGCCAGCACCAGCTTCCCTCTGGCACCTGGGACCCGGGCTTCCCTCCAGCCGCTGGCAGGCACCCGGAATCCGAGCTTCCCTTGTAGCCCAGCTTTGTCTGAAAGGTTGTCCGGAAGGACATCCAGTCTAATTAGCATATTACACTTTTATTATTATAGATGTCCAGAATAGACAAATCTACAGCAACAAAGATTAATAGTTGTTAGTGCAGGTGAAGGGGGGAGAAGGATTAGGAAAGAATGGGAAGTGATTTCGGTGATGGTTGAGTATGCTAAAAACTTTTGAATTGTACATTTAAAATGAATCTGTTGTATTGTTGGCAGGAAATGGCACCAGGCGTTAGAGCAGTGGAGTTCAGCAACCTTGGTACATGAGTTCTGGCTAAGAAAGAATTCAGATGCAAGACTCAAATTATAAGAGAGTTTATTTAGGAAGTCACAGAGCTAGAAGTGAGCCATAGAAGGAATGGGCTCAGGAAAGGAGTTATAGAGGCAAAAGGACTATTGGTTCATAGGAGAAAGAGAGAGGCCAGGAAAATGCCTGGGGGAAGGGGGTGGGGAAAGGCGCAGGCTGCTCCATAGAAAGAGCTTTGACAATTGTCTTCTTAATTGTGCTGAAAACGGGTTTACTTCTTTCCAGTAGTGATGCCCTTAGCAAACTTGTATTTAATTATGTTGTACAAAATTTGATTTAATTGTACATTTATTTTCAGTTGGATGCCAGATCAAGATTCAGAGGAAGAAAAGGATATTGATAACTATTATGTTGAAACCAAGATGAATACAACAAGGATTTCCTCTGGTCATTAAAACACAGAAACCAAAGTTGGAAACATATTTTTTCCTACACCTGTTTGGTTGGACCTGGAGCCCTGGAGAGAATGCATGATTTCTGTTTTTTAATATCTATAAATAATTTTATTGTTCTGAGTTATTTTTAGAAGAAAAATGTAATTGACCAGTTATGAGCAAGGGAGCATAATAAATGCGTTTTAAAAATGGTTTTAAAACAATTTTAAAACCAGTTTGCTCAGTGGTTAGAGTGTCTGCCCGCAGACCAAAGGACCATGGGTTTGATCTTGGTCAAGGGGATGTACCTGGAAGGGGCACAGGTGGGAGGCAACCACTTAATGTGTGTGTGTGTCTCTCCCTCTCTTTCTCTCCCCGCACCTCTCCCTCCCTTCTAGTCTCTGATAAGCAATGATGTGTGTGTGTCTCTCCCTCTCTTTCTCTCCGCACCTCTCCCTCCCTTCTAGTCTCTGATAAGCAATGGAAAAAATATCCTCAGGTGAGGATTAACCAAAAATAAAAAAAGGAATTGTTTTAAAGCACAAAGATAGTTATTTTCAAACATGATTCAAACAAATGACACACTTTGTACATCCTTTGTGAATATTCTGAAAGCCACTGTTGGAACTGTTAAAATCAGTAACATGGAGCCTGGGAGAAAATGTCTATTGGGAAAGTTTAGGATAAAACTCTCTTTTATTTAATGTCTTGTTTAGTTATAAGTTGTGTTTGATTTCTTGGAGAAGAAATGCTTCATTTGCACTGATTCACTGACTTAACAGCTTCATAACTTTAACATCATGCACCAGACGTAGCTGGATTCTGTAGCCTGGGCGCTCTCCTCCCTCACTGGACTGTTTTTGTTTTCCTGGCTTCATTTTCAGGCTGGCCCTCTCTACATAATTGGAAAGAGGTCAGTGTCAGCCAGAAGCACACATCCTTAATATCCATGATCCAAAAAGAAGAGAGAAAACTTCCTTTCTTAGGGGCCACTAGTCAAATTCCACGAAAGGACTATTGTCTTCCCTGAGTCACCTGCCCTTGAATTAGACCAGTCCCTGTGGGAAAAGGAATAGGGCCACGATGTCGGCCAGGCCTGGGTCTCATAATTCCCATGAGAATCACATTGGATGAGTGACGGGCCTCATCCCAAAAGAAAAGGATTCTGCACAAACAAAAAAGATGAGTTCACTATGGAAAGCAAAAGTGGAAACATGAAATGCTTGAAAAAGTTTACAATCAGTGATTTTATTCTGGTCACTTAATACAGTACAGAACTGTACTATATAGTAAAGTTTTCAACTTTATTTTCAGTGTTGAAGAAAAATGAACCACATCTTCATAACATCCACAGGTCATCAGAGTTTAAGCAGTCAAGGTATTCTATAGCTTGTTTTCTTTTGCAAATGTTCACCTAAAGCGAGAATCCTTTTTGCAGAATCCCAGAGGTCTATTGTATGTACTACTTTCACTGAGAAAGGGAAAATGCTGGATTTTTTTCAATTAATTCTTGTATAACTATTTAAGTGCTACAACTTTTATTAAAAGGAACTTTGATAAAATTATGTAATAGTTTCATTGAGAGCTTCATTTGGAGAAATTCACGTTATGAAATTTACCTTTGCCCTGCCAGTGTGGCTCAGTTGGTTGGGTGTGATCCCTTGCACCAAAAGGTTGAAAGGTTGCTGGTTCAATTCCTAGTCAGGGCACATGCTGGGGTTGCAGGTTCAATCCCCGGTAGGTATGTGCAGGAGACAGCTGATTAATGATGTGCTCTCACATCGATGTTTCTCTCTCCCTCTCCCTCTCAAAAATAAAAAATCAATGAACTATTTTTAAAAATATTACCCTTGAAGTATATACAATTCAGTTTTTTGTTTTTGTTTTGTCATAGAGTTGTGTAACCATTACCACTAATTCCAGAACATTTGGGGTTTCTCTCCAAAAAGAAACCCCATACCCATTCCCCACTTTCCCCCCACTTCCAATAACCATTAATAACTGTGTCTATAGATTTGCCTGTATGGAATTATATGTGGCCTTTTTTGACTGGCTGCTTTCACACAGTATTTTCAAGGCTGTAGCATTTATTTGTACTTCACTACTTTTCACTGCAGAATAATATTCCATAGTATAGACATTCCACATTTTATTTATCCATGAGTTGATGGACTTTAGGTTGTTTGCACTTTGGGGCTATTATGACTAATGCTATGAACATTCATGAACAGGTTTTACATGGACACATTTCATTTCTTCAGGGTATATAGCAGGTCCTAGAAGAATGTCTATTTGTTCAATGGTGTTTTGTTAGAACATCGATGAGATGTTGTAGAAACTTAACTCTTATATCAATTAGCCTGTAGTAACATTGGTTTCATTGTATATTGTTTCACTTAAAGTCCAGAACCTATGGATGATGTTAAGTGAGGACTTACTGTATACCTAAGGATGGTATTACTGTGCGATGTAACAATGTTTTGATGAACTGCCAAACTTTCTTATAGTGGCTACACCAAGAAAGTATGAGGATTTCAGTTTCTCCACACCATCAACAGTTATTATTTTTCAACTATTTGATTATAGACATTCTACCAGGTTTGAAGTGGCATCTAATTGGGATTTTGATTGGCATTTCCCTAATGGTTAATGATGTTGAGCATGTTTTCATGTGCTTATTGGCCACTTGTATATATAGAGAACTGTCCATTTTTTAAGTTATCTTTTTATTGTTGAGTTGTAAGAGTTCTTTATATATTATATATACAAGTTCCTTAAAGACGAATGGTAAATTTCTTCTCCCAATTTGTGTTTTGTCTTCACTTTTTTGATGCTGTCTTTTGAAGCACAATTTTCAATTTTGATGAGTTCCAATTTATCCGTTTTTCTTTTGGTGTATCTAAGAAAACCACTGCCTAATCCAAGCTTACGGAAATTTATTCCTGTTTTCATCTAAGAGTTTTATAGTTTTAGCTTATGTATAGCTCTATAATCCACTTAAAAATAATTTCTGATACTTCTATTAGTAACTATATAGTTGTCATAAAATACACAATGTAAAATTTATCATCTTAACCATTTTTAAGTATGTAGTTCAGTAGTGTTAAGTATACTCACCTTATTATGCAACCAATCTCCAGAACTTTTTTCATCTTACAGAACTGATATTTTATACCCATTTTATACAACTCCCCATCACCTTTTCTCTCCACCCCGTGGCAGCCACCATCTGCTGATGGTGAGCACCATTTCATCATTTAATGTTTTTGTTGACCATTTGTAAATCTTTGGAGAAATGTCTACTCAAGTTTTTTTGCCCAATTCTTAATAGGGTTGTTGGTTCTTTTGTTGTGGAGTTCCAGGAGTTCTTTGTATATTCTAGATATCAGTCCTTTTCCAGATAGATGATTTGCATATATTTTCTCCCATTTCTTTTCACTCCATTGGTTGTATTTGATGCATAGTTTTAAATTCAATGTAGTCCAGTTTGTTTTTACTTTTGTAGCCTGTGCTTTTGGTGTCATAGCCAAGAAATCCTTGCCCAATCTAATTAAGCTCTTCCCTTACATTTTATTATATTAGTTTCAGTTCTTATGTTTAGGTCTTTGATCTAGTTTGAGTTACTTTTTGTATACAAATGGTGTAAGGTCTAATTTCATCCTTTTGCATATGATACCCAGTTTTCCCCAACATCATTTGTTGAAAAGACTGTCCTTTCCGCTCTGAATGGTCTTGGCACTGTTGTTGAAGATCATTTGTCTGTATATGCCAGGGTTTATTTCTGGCTTATGTCTGTCTTTATGCCATAACCACACTGTTTTGATTACTGTAGCTTTGTAAGTTTCGAAATCAGAAAGTATAAGACCTCCAACTTTGATATTTTTTCAAGTTGTTTTTGCTATTCAGAGCCCCTAGAGATTCCATATGAATTTTAGGATGGATTTTTCTGTTTCTGCAGAAAACACCATTTGAATTTTGATAGGGATTATATTGAACCTGTATATCACTTTGGAGAATATCGGCATTTTAACAATGTGAAGTGTGCTAATCCATTTACATGAGAGGACTTTACATCTATTGGTATTTTCTTTAATTTCTTTTAGCAACATTAGGTTTATTTCTAAGTATCTCATTCTTTTTTATGTGATTGCAAATGGAATTGATTTCTTAATTTTCTTTTTAGGTTTGGATGATGGGTTAAGTTTTTATAATTTTATCGGGAAATATAGTAGACATACAGAAAAATACACCAAACGTTTGTATAATGTTAACTAATAACTATAAATCATCATGTTACTACCATCCAGGGAAACAGACATTGAATGAACCCCCTGTAATCCTGACTTTTCTCAGAGGCCCTCCTGCTCACCCCCGAGAGAAAAACCACTGTTCTGGTGTTTGCCAGACTCTGCTCATAAGTTTTTCTTCTTCCTTGAGCTTGTTGCATTTGGCTCCTTGTGAGGTGTTAGAATACAGTCGTCCCCCCTTATCCGTGAGGTGCCTTGAACTGTGGATAGTACTGAGTCCTATATATACTATGTTTTTTCTTACACATACATACCTGTGATAAATTTATAAATTAGGCAAAGTAAGAGATCAATAACTAAATAACTGAACTGGGACAATTATAACAATATACTGTAATAAAAGTTATGTGCATGTGGTCTCTCTAAATATCTTATTGTACTGTACTTACCCTTCTTGTAACCTGTTGATCTTGGAAAATGAAACCTTGGATAGAGGGGTACTACTGTAACAGGTTACAGCACTACACCAGAGAAAAGCAACATGATCTAGTGCTGAAATAGGAATTATTTTAATTGAACACCAAAGAAAATTCATTTACCCATCTATTCATTCCATAAACCTTTTTGAGTAGCTCCTTTGCAACAGTCATTACATTTGCTGTTTTGGACACAGAGTAACATGCTGGACAAAATTAAAGGTAAGTTAGCATGAGGGATAGGATATACATGATATAATGGTCATATATATTGAAAATTGTATGAGGGAAAGTATTTTCCTAAAAGGGCCACTCATTCTGTGGAGAGAAATCGCCACAGAGAAAGGCCTTGGAGAAATGAGAAGGTTGAGTGATGGTGGTCCCTATCAGAGAGAACGTGGACATGCACCTGGGCTGTGTGCATGGAATTATGGGTGGGTTGAAGGGATACAGATCATAGTGGCTGCTGGGATGTGTTGGGCAAGGGAGAA